TATTATGACTTTCTTATCAACTTTTATTACAATGTTGGAGATTAATTGTGCTCTTCTAAAACATGTATATAAAAAAAGGAATTAATGTATATGTAAAAGAATACCGGTTTAGGTGGAAATAATCAGTAGGGGCCTCAAAAAACTGGTCTGTTTATTAATTTAAAGTGTATTAAAACCGAAATTTTTAAAACTATAATTAACTGAATAGCTGTTAATTTATTATTTATCATATTTGTACAATTAATGTATAACTGATATTTATATATGTTCAAAGGGTTTGTCTCGTATATTTAATAAAAATAAAAACAATTTAAATGAATTTGTTTAAATAATAATAATCTCAATTATTTATTTATAGAAAAAAATTGCCATATTTTGAGCGGCGCTTTAACAGGACTACATCCACATCTCTTACAAAGATATGAATTGTCCAAATTAGGCAACCGGTTGCTTAAGTCGGTTCACTCTGAACATTATTATTGAATAATCGTACAGGGTATTCAAGTTAGGACATCTAATTTTAACATAACGTATGAAATAATTAAGGTCTGCGAGGGCATTAGGCGGTCTGTCGCTAGTGCCAAATTTCGTTTTTTTATACCATAGTATATCATAGTAGAAAAAATTAAACCTCCCAAAATTATTATTATATTATTGAACAAATACCAAGGTTGGAACCTAATATTGGTTCATTATTCATATTATTTCGTATATTTATAAATTTACAGGATTTCCTTCCCCTGCAGGGGATAAGTTTATTTCTGATAACTGATATTATTCAACAGTTACGCTTAAAATTCTTAACTGTTTCATTTTAATGAGTAATTGTACAACTTGTTATGTACAGCATTATAACAAAATTTCATAATTCTTGTAATAGAAGTTATCATCATACATTGTATCGTGCGTAACTTATTCAATAAAAAAAAAACCTTCTCAGCTTCGCATCGCAGTTAAAATGTCCTCAAGAAGTTTTGTACAAACTTTTTGTAAGTTTAAAATTATCGATAGACGCTATTATAGGAATGATCGATATTTTGCTATAAAAATATTATCATTTCGAATTCATGACTTTATTACAACTGTTATTATATCTATTGAACAATTAACTGTGCAACATTGCTTGCGACCAAGTTGCTATGGCAACGTATAAATATATTGTATACGGTAATTGTTAGAGTTCCCGGATAAGCCACCGGTATTTTTTTGCCTGGGCCTTCTAATACAAACGGGCCAACATCATTGGTAAAATTTGGCCACACCCAACAGACCAATCGCCTACAGTCAGGCGGAGCCAGTACTGCTGAGCAACAGAGAGACAAGTAACCTAAACCGGCATCTGGAGAGACCATAAAGATATTCATTTATTAAAGAGATTCAATTGAAAACATGTGTTAAAACTAAGTAGGCGAGTCATGAAATAGTCGAATTTCCCTCGTTTTGAGTATACATAAGACTATATAGAGTGTATACTTCCTTCATATATTTTTATAAGGGTTTATAACGTGTATACCTGTTTTTTATTGGGTGAATTGGCATTAACAGTTAGGTTTGATTTCCAATTTAATTTTACATTCCTCTATTGCGTAACCCTATGTTTTTCTTATGACGTATTAAGTATTTTATTTCAAAAGATCCTGAAAATGAAAAAAATGCAGAGCGGTGGAGCTTTGTTTCTTCATATCCCATGGTTTTTTATTTCAATGTGGGAAGGGGTAGACAACCTGAATATCATCCGTAGGTACTACAGTGAGTAACGTTTTATTATTTATTAATTATTTTATTATAATTAATATATCCTGAGCAACATTTAGCTTTACCGGTATTCGTAATGTTTATCCTAAATAAATTATGTTATGAATCACAGTCATAACTAGCGCAATTAGATAAGGTTTTTTCTTGAAGGAGGTCGGTAGGAACTGATAAGAAAAATTTGTTTCTGTTAAATTTTCTTTTTATTCATAATTCTTTTAAATACAAATTTCGATCTAAAAATAATCCATCGAATGTATTTNATTTGTTTCTGTTAAATTTTCTTTTTATTCATAATTCTTTTAAATACAAATTTCGATAAAAAAATAATTCATCGAATGTATTTTGGGGAATGTTCCTATATAAGTAGGGGGCTATTTATTATTATTTATTAGGACTAGACATTATTGAGATTAAGTCTTGAATTAAAAAATTATAATAAAAATTATTTACAAACATTTTCTTCTGCATCTTGTAAATGTAGTCACAATCAGAGTAAACAACTGACGTGGAATACCATCTCTATAACATTTTGTTTATTTATAAAAATACTATTAGAAGAAATTTAAAAGATACTCTTAATAACCATAATAAGTAAAAAGTAAGCCTTTCCCTCTATTACGTCTTGGTCTTACTAAACATAAAACCTGAAATTTAAATATTAAAAATGAAAGTAGTCAAGAACTCCTAAAAATTTAGTTTTACGCAACAGTGCATACATATCGAGCATAAGTATTGCATGTTTGTATTACATAAGGCTGCCACTATAAAAAATATGATCTTTATTTTTAGTTGGATTTTTCCTCAGATAAATTTTTATCCAGAATAAGAATAATTATTTTATTAAATCGATGATTTGATGCACTGAGGTAACATTAAATTTAAAAAATATGTATATATATTTAAAAATATAGGAATAAGCAAAATTATATTATTAAAATAGTACTTAACACATTTTTATTAAAATCGATGTGTCAATACCAAACATTATGCAAACACAATATTTCAAATATTTTCATCGACGAAAAAAGTACAATAAATATCGACATGTGAAAACAGACACTTGTCTTGTTTTATTGTACAAGGTGAGTTGCGGAGATCTATCTTTGTCATACATAAAAAACCTAGTAACTTTTGATCCAATAATCTTTTTACTGTTATTTTTTTTTCTTACCAAGTTTTTCATATTTAAAATACATTAAATCATATTTTTATTATTTGCCTCAGTCGAGAAAAAATAAAAACAAATTTTTTGTTTTTTCAAAATTTCATAATAGTAATTTTTAACTCTTGCTATGCAAAAACATTTGGATTGGTCTACGACAACCTTAAAATAAGTAGTTTTTGAGTACCAAGCATTTTAATACATTGAGTGGATAAGTAGTGCGGGTGAATACACATACACGTAGAGGACGGCTGTAATAGTTTTAGAATATTATTTCTTTAAACTTCGTGTATTATTATGAATGTGCGTAGCAACGTAAATACCAATACTATAAATTAGAAATAATTAAATTAAATAATTAATTAAAAAAATTAAAACTATTTTTCCATTGGAAAAGTGGACACGCTTACAAAATAAAAGGGATACTACCTACTAATATTGGAGAAGAAAATTATACAACTTAGTTGTCATAGATAAGTTCCAATTTTTACGACAAACTAGGCATATCTTATTGCAAAAGAGTAAATAAGACTATTAATCGACTGTTCTGGCCTGACAATTTATGTACAATATTAGATACTTATTACCGTGTTGAAGTTTATGTATAACTATTGAACATTGATAAAACATACAAAGTATATTGTAATGCACAACGTAAAATTTCAAATAAATAATATAATACTTTTTTCTGACATTTTTCAATATATTTTGGTAAATAGACAAATAAATTAAATTAATCTAATCAATATATTTTGTCTTGTGTGTGTGGTTATGAGAATTAGTCCTTTGGATGCGTTCAAGTTAACAATTAGAAAATGCGTCAAATATTATCAAACCTGCTTATTTTCTTAAAGTATTATATTTAGAGTGCTAATTTAATACTTTGGGCTGATATTTACACCTTAGAGTTGTCGTATGTATGTCAATGATACATCAAAAACGCGTTATAATCATTTTGAAGGTTATCTAATGTAGAATGCTGTTCAGTTTAAATATTGTCATGCGAAATCGTTAAAAAGCCGCCCACACTGCCGTGACAATGTCAAAAACTATAGAACCCACACGGCTTTCTTTTGATCAATGTCCAGAATTGAATTTTTGACTTGTGGCATCTGAAAGTCGCAAAAAATGTTTTTGTAATTTACTAATGCTCAAATAATGTTTTGTCTGGACCGCCTTAATATTTACACGCCAACCTGGACAATATAAAAATTTGAATGAATCCATCAAAACTAAAAAATATGCTGCTATGGCATAAAATAAATGTACTGATCTTAAATTCGATTTTTGGACGACGGCAAATAATACAATATACAATATCTAGTGAGTGTTAATCATTTCAATAAAATTATTACAAATTTCTTCCTAATTAAAAAGTATCGTAAAAAATTTAAGCTTTTCCGGACATAAAAACATTATTTTAAGGTGATACATAGCGATTGATTTTTGGTAAGATGAGGAAGGATACAGTTGGTACTTACGTTTGTCTCACCAAATAAATAAGAACTAAAAGCATAATATTGAATTTATATTCTAAGGTATTTTCTAAACATCATTCATTGTTTTCATTTAAAATAATGTTGTTTAATTTTTATCGATAAATAAATAAATATTAGAATAATTACAATTTTTTCTATCCAGGCGATAAGATTTAAAAAAATTTAATTTAAATTATGAATATTAATTGGGTATTTTAGAATATATTTTTCTATACTTTATCAATTAACTTTGTGATTTAAATATACCTTTAAACGTAATCTAATAATCAAAAAATATACTTAACAAAAAAACCAAAAATTGTAATCCTATTATTATATTATTTTTGCAAATAATCAAATGGTTTAAGAAAAACCGATCACTCTGTACAGTATTATTAATATATTCTTTTTAATAATGTAATCTAATAATGCAAACATTCCTAAAAAAATTACAGTGAATTAATAATAAAAATTACATTAAAAGTTATAAGAGTCGTCTGATAGATCTGTTTTCTCCTGTATAGAAAAAAAAATTAGTTATTTTTGTAAAGCTTAATGTTATATATAAGATATAACAATATATATTATTGTCAATTTTACTTAATAAAATATTTACTCATAATTGTTATAAAAATCAGAAATAAATGTAAAAATATTATTTCATATTTTAGCATTATAAAAGAAAAATGGTAATATTATTCATATATCAATTATTTGTCTCATATATTTTAATTTTTACATATTATATTCATATATCAATTTATATTAATTATATTTTATTTCAGAATTTGTATACAATTTCAGTGTCATCACTGATTTTTTTTCTTTTTTTAAGAAATGGTAATGGCTAAATTTTTACACGAATTATTTTATTTTAATGTTAAAATGATTCTTCTATTTAAATTATACCTATATTTACTAAAAAATTATAGTTTTTTTTTGCAGAATTATACGCACATCCAAATAAAATAAATTCAAAGTTTGGTATGTTAAACATTTCTATCTACAATGAATATTCAATGTGTTTTTTTAGATTAAAAAAACACATTTCTTAATATTAAATAGTAAATTGATTCGGATTCACTATAATTGAAATAATTTCAATTTTTTAAATAATATTTTAGCTAATCTGTTAAGATTACTTTGTTTTACTGCGGTCGATGAACTAGGTTTGTATGAAAATGCTTTTAAGTAAACAAATATGTTTTAAAAATTGATTGTTAAAGAAAATACTGTGTAAAATCATAATCAAAAAAAATGTTCGTTCTAATATAAATCAAAACAATCTATTAAAATTTAAATAAAAAACAACGATGTTTTACTGAAAACTAAAGAAGTTGTAACATTTAAACATCCATAAATTAAGTCTAATAATATAGGAATAATCATCTTGTATACAATTTATGCATAAAACAACATAAAAATAATAATTACATACTAGTTATGTTACATTCGTAAGTCTATAGTGTCAAAAATACACTTTCCACTATCTTCATGTAGTTTTTATTATTTTTATAAGTTTTAAACTGTGATAAATTTATTTAACTTATTTTCATAACGTTCATGATTTACTATTCAACATTTATGATAATATTGTTTAATTGAAAATCGAACTTTCATTTTTTTTCAAAACCTGCACAAACATTGATATAGGTACTATTGATAATAATTTTTATTAATCATTTGTGTTATTTGTTAATACTCTAATTAGCATAATAAAATTTAATACATTGATTTATTTAATAGTTCCTCATAAATATTTTTTTTGAAAAATTATTAAAACAATTTACATTAATTATGCAATATAGAATTTTGTGTAAAGGCGATTACTTAAAATTAATGTTATGTTTAATTAAAAATATAATANAAGGTACTATTGATAATAATTTTTATTAATCATTTGTGTTATTTGTTAATACTCTAATTATTATAATAAAATTTAATACATTGATTCATTTAATAGGTCCTCATAAATATTTTTTTTGAAAAATTATTAAAAACAATTCACATTAATTATGCGATAGAATTTTGTGTAAAGGCGATTACTTAAAATTAATGTTATGTTTAATTAAAAATATAATTATAATAATAACATGATAAAACAAATTGTTAACTTAATGAAAATTAATTAAATTGCAATCTTCATATTGTTTCAGAATCTGGAAAAAATATTGATACAGGTACTGCTGAAAATATTTTGTGTTAATCACTGATACTATTTTTTCTATATTAAATATACTTATAGAATTGAATACTAAATAATCTGTTAAATACTTTTTTTTGTAAAATTTTAAAAAATTTATAAAAATTATGTGATATAGAATTTTGAATAGAGACGATTTTTTTAAATTGATTTATATTGTTTCAGAATCTGTGCAATACTTTGATATAGGTACTATAGAAAATAATTTATATTAATCTTTGTTTTTACTTGACATTAGTTTGATTTAAGTAAATAAAACAAAATTATAAATAATAAACTATTTATTATGTTCTCATAATATCTCCTCTCAATAATATTCTCTTAGTATCCCCCCCCATTTATATTACGATCTTCCTAATAATGCCTCTTTTTCAATAGATGATGTTTTTAATGGTTTATCTAATCTTAATAATAATAAATCTATTGGGTCTGACGGTATTCCTGGTAACTTCCTATTTAACCTACGACATTCGATATTCTTTCCACTCTGGATGATTTTCCGAAAATCTCTTGATGAATAATCGTTTCCATCCATTTTCAAAATTTCCTCTATTACTCCTCTTTATTAAATCCGGTGATCCAACTCAAGTTGTGAATTATCGTCCTATTTCTAACCCTTCTCATTTATCAAAACTTTTTGAGTCCCTTGTCTTTTATTCAATTAAATCTAGTACTAATAACTTTTTTATTGATGAACAACATGATTTCCGTCATGCATACTTTAACATGCAATCTTGTATTTCAATCTTTCATTACCGATTCTTTCCTTGTCCATGCTCAAGTAGATGTCATTTATACTGATTTTTCAAAAGCCTTCGATAAACTTAATCTTAATATCCTGTCTGAACTTCTATTCCACGCTGGTTTTGGCAAACCACTCCTCTCTTGGTTAATTTCATATTTAACTGAAAGAAACCAGTGGGTAAATATTCAAGGTTGTGCTTCTAAAGTTATAACCCCCTCCTCCGGTGTTCCACAAGGTTCAATCCTATCTCCCCTTCTTTTTTTCATTTTTGTAAATGACGCTAATTCTGTTTTATAGCATGCTAAAATACTCCTTTTTGCAGATTNAAATATTCAAGGTTGTGCTTCTAAAGTTATAACCCCCTCCTCCGGTGTTCCACAAGGTTCAATCCTATCTCCCCTTCTTTTTTCCATTTTTGTAAATGGCGCTAATTCTGTTTTATAGCATGCTAAAATACTCCTTTTTGCAGATGACTTCAAATTATTTATGCGTGTTACTAATAGTTCCGATGTTATTTTACTTCAAACTGATCTAGATCGCTTAGTTAGTTGGGCTGAATCAATTGGCTTGACTTTTAATACCTCTAAATGTTATAAAATGACTTTTTCACGTATTTATAATCCTATATCTTCAACTTACTATATTCATAACCATCTTATTTCTTCTGTTCCTTCTATAGTTGACCTTGGGTTTCGTCTCACTCCTACTTTAAATTTTCGACTTCATATTGAAGAAGTATGTTGTAAGGCTCTGAAAACTTTAGGTTTCATTCAGAGAATTTCTCATGAATTTCACCTATCAAGATCACTAAAAAATCTTTTTTGTTCGCTGGTTCGCCCTATCCTTGAATATGGTTTGGTGTTATGGGATCCTTATACAACTACCGACTCTATGATGCTTGAAATAGTGCAACGTAAATTTTTACGCTTTGCAGCTCATATCCTTAATTTCCCCCATCCACCTCATGACTTAACTCCTATTCAAAATTTCTTACAACTTCCTTCCTTATCTGCTAGAAAACATGACTCTAATATCCGTTTCCTTTCTAAACTCTCAGCTGGCTTGATTGATTCTACTGTCCTACTTTCTACATTGAATTTTCGGGTACCTGCTCGTTCAACTCGCTATACTACCCCTTTCCTCATTCCTCATTCATCTTCTAATTATATTTTTCATTCCGCTCTCCCACGTTTAATACGCATTGCAAATAATGACCCTGATTTTTTATATTCTTTTAATTTTTAATGTAGTCATTTAGCCTTCCTATTTAATATTTAAATTTTTGATTATGTTCAAATTTTTCTTTTTCTCTTTGTCAAGCTTAAGTTTATTATTGTTTCATTTTTAGTTATTAGATAATTTTAAGTTGTCCAGTTCACTGTCTAATACATATTGTATTTTTTGGGCTATTGCCTGTATAATACATAATAAATAAATAAATAAATAAATAATATATGAAAAATCACTATAAAAAGCTTATTAAAATTAAAGAATAGTTTAGTTTAGTTTTTTAGTAAAGTCAATTAGATATAAAAAAATTGAAGTATTTTAAAAAATGAAAAAATAACATGGCAATACAAATTGCATAAACCATGATAAATAAAAATATATATTAATAAAACATTTTTTCAGGCAATGATGTTAAAGAAGAAGGTGATATTAAAAGCATTTTTTATAATAGAACTTTATACATTTATGATAACAATTTTATTTCAAATAACACATTACAAAAAAATCTAATTATGCATAACTTATGTACATATATTAATTTATAAGTGTGTTAATAAAATATTATTTTGAAAAAAAAATAAAAGAAATGTTTAAACAATTTTGCAAAGACATATGATAGTTCAAAAATTCCTTAAAAATTAAAAAATGCAAATTTATGATTTGAATATGCTGTAGTACTATAGTACTATAAGTGATACTATAGACAATAATTTAATCATTAAATGTTATTATTTTGACTTATATATCTATTTAGGTACGTGTGGAATATGCTTGGAAGAAAAAGAATCAGTAACATTGATACCATGCGAACATAAGTTTTGCAATACTTGTATTAATATATCTCTTTATAAATATGAACTAAATAAATGTTCTGTATGCCGTCAGGAATTTACATCAACTGAAGGATTAAGTATGTATAGTTAGTTAATTTATGATACGAGAAAAAATCTAATTCTAAATGAGTAAGAAGATTCATATAAATATATTTAACATACAACTATCTAATTTTATACATTTATAATTTTAAAATAAGCGCAGATATGCTTGAAGTAGAGTAGTAAGGCACATTGTTATGAGTTTATTAATATATCAACTGACAATATAGAAAGCATATATGTTGATAGAGTCATAATTGACAATTAAAACTCAAATATTGTATTAAATTCAAAATATGTGTTCCCAATTTAAAAAACAAAATTGACATTCATTTAAATTTGAAATATACTTTTTTTTTTATAATCTTTAAAATAAAAATTTTGTGATCGATACATATAGAGTGTTCAGTAAGTAAGAAATCGGAAGAATTGTTATAAGCAATGAGAACATAAGAGACCCGTTTCCTTACTTACTGAAAATTCTCTATATATATTGAAATATTTTATAAATATGTAATCTTTAATGCTTTACTATTATTTTCTAAGGTCCAATAAAACAAAATTCCCGCTTTTCCCTGCACTTAATTTTCCTTTTTTACTTCAAGTTTGCCATAGAAATTACAACTAGGATCACCTAATTAAAATAATGTAAAAATTAATATTTTCTCTAAATTAGAAGTATAAGTAATTTTTTTTTTTAAATTGAGTGAATTGAAAAAATAAATTGTCAATGATACATTATATATTTATATATTATATATTAATTAATTATATTATATACAATATAAAATGAAATGTCCATGTACCGGTATAAATTTTCAAGCAGCTATAAATTAGTTATTAAAAATGTAATGTAATATAATCATCATAATAAGTTTTACTATCCTTTGTAAACTTATAAAAAAAAATGATTATTTCAATTCAATTAAACACACTTGATTGCTTAATTGTAGAAAATGAAAGCTTTAAAGTTCAATGGTAGTTTAGTTACATAGTTTTTTTTATGCTATTTTACATTTACTAACATCTATTTTATTAATTTAACTGTTTAGCGAGTAATGTTATTAAATGTGACTTATAAAATTCATAATCACTTGATTAATGATGGTTCTAAAAATAAAAAGCTTTATTGTATAATATAATTACGTAATTTTTAGAATTTAAAATAAAAAAAGTAGGTTTATTTTTAATATTCATTTAAAGTCATCATTCAAGTTTATTTTAACGGTAACAAGGTTTTTGAGAATTGTATTAATCGAGCGTTAATTATACAACTATATAGTAAAATTTATCAAGTGAAATATAATCTTGACATCTTTTTTTTTTAGAAACAATTCCAATATTAGATTATAAAAAAAGTAGATTTATTGGTCTAGTTGATTATGAACAAGGAAAAGATCCATATGTAAGAATGAAACAACCTATTGATGATGAAATTATTAGATTAAAAAGGAAAATTGCTCAAGGTATAATCTCAGATGGTTATCTAATTGCTCGATATTATTACCTTCGTCAATCAGAAGAGCCTGATCAAGAGCTCATAGAAGATATTTTACGGTTAGAAAAATTTAATAAAGAATCAATTAGAAAACTAAAAATATGTATTGAGAATTGTAAAAAAGGTTTTCATGAATATTTACTGTACTCTGATTTGTTTATAATTGAATTGGATGAGAATGAAAGACAAATGTTATTTAAGTATTATTACAGAAAAAAAAAAGATCCAACAGTAGAATTAAAAAATAGAATAGAGTATATTCGTTTTCCTGGAAAAACCTATGAACACATAAATTAAATATATTTCTATGGATGAAAAACACAATAAAAAATTTTAACCTCTTATTATGATTACTACTAGTTATATTTTAAAATGTTTATTTTTAACCATTGAATAGTTTTTTAAAGATTTGAACCAATAAAATTACTTTATTAATATAGTAATCTAACAGTAAATATCTGTAATATTTCACTTATTTTGTAAGTAAAAAAAAAAAATATATTCAATACATTTAACATATAAAATTATAAAGTACATGAAATTTTTATTAAAATATTATTTAATTATAATGATATTAACATTTATGTGCGTATGATTTTTTATTTATAAAAATAATTTATAATAATAATATTAATTAAGTTGTTCAAAAATAATATAATTAGTAAAAACTTAGCATATTGGGGACGCGGTATAGTTGGGTCCAGTATAGGTTTAATCTGACTGTGATTAAAATCACTATCATAAAAAACTCTTTCAGGCAAATATATAGATAGTGTTTAATTTTAAAAAATTGATAGATTATTCCAAAGGTAAAATGATCTCCTATATCCTTATTTTTATCCTGATTATAATTTCTATGATTTATGAGTGTAATATATGAATAAATATTTATTATAGCAATTAAATATAGCATGAAATTGATATGTAATAATTAAATATTGTAATTTTTACGGAGAAATTATATAAAAATTACAAAGTAGTTATTACTTTAAAGGCAAACGTATATAAAAGTTGAAGGTTTTAATAAAATACTTAAAAAATAAAAATCGTTTGTTATATACAAGGTGATTTTTTTATCATAACCCACTCAATTACTTACAGAATAATAATAATTAAAAATTTTTTTTTTATTATTATCTTTAGTTACACATTATTCTTGAATTATTAACTATGTAATACTTTTTAAGTTCATCCCTTATGCATGGTAAGGGTGTCAACTTTGTTTTTTTAAATGGTAACACATATTTTTAATTTAATAAAATGTTTGAGTTTTTATTTCAATAATAAATGGAATTTGAATTTTTAATAAAACTTAATTTGTTTATTAGATATAAACATTTAAAGTTTCAAAATTTTGAGTTAATATATAGGTATAATACACAAGGGATTACAAATACAGGTAGCTAATTGGTTTTTTATGATATTGCTATCACAGTCACGGATTGTTTATTATCAATTATGACTATCAATAGATATACTTTTTGTATTGTCAGTTAGTGTATTTATAAACTCACAACAATGTACCTTACTATCATTGATAATAACAATGCTGTGTACCTGCTAATATCGATGTCATAAAAAATCAATTAGCTACCTGTGTAACTAAAGATAGTAATAAAAAAAAAATTTTAAATTATTATTATTCTGTAAGTATTGAGTGGGTTTTGATAAAAATATCACTCTGTATAAGTAAATTTAATGGTCTACCCAGAATTTTCATCCGAGACCAATATATACTTTTCTAAACCCATTTTTGCGCCAATTTCAAATGTGCTATTAGATTTTCGTGTATAGCCTAAATAATAACGAAATTCTTTTAATTATTATAGCAAATATATCTTTGATTATTAGGTTACGTATAAAAAATCAATAAATATATTTTAATTAAAAATAAGTTGAAAAAATTCTACATTCTATAAGTAGTTTTAAGTTTTGAACCATTGCTGTATGAATAAAAATAGTCAGATTTAAAAAAAATTATGTCAAACGAAAAAAAGTAAATAAATAGTATTTATCATGAAAAAATTCTATTGATCCATTCATTTTTCAAAAAGTTATAGCATTATAAAATTAAAAATATAAAAAAGAATTTTACAAAAATCGTATTTTTTATAAACTTTGATGTCCGTTTTCACCATGAATACAAAATAAAGTCCGAAATTTTTTTTTTCATAATAAAGTACATTACATTAGCTTTTTAGCTAAAAGGAACATTTTCAAAAGTCAAGTTGAAAAAATTAATTTTTTGTGAAAAAGTTGTCATTTTAAATCCTCACTGTGGGCAAGTAAAGGGTCAGATATAAAAAAAAAATATACCAAATGATAGGTAAAGACATCATGCATCTATAAAAAAAAGAATTATATTAATTTGGTTATTTTTAAAAAAGTTATGGCTATTTTAAGTAAAAAAAGTTGAAAAAATTTCGAAAATTAGCGATTTTTTAGAATTTGTAATTTTTTGGAGGTTTCCCCCATTTACGGGGAACGAGGGAATTTTTTTTCAATTTTTGAGGGTAATGTCTTCGACTAGATACGATTTGTGATCTTTTAACGTATCATTGAAAGAAATCGATTCCGTGAGAGCTGAGAAAAGGTGGTAACAGACAAAAAAAAAAAAAAAAAACACATCTTAGTAAAAACAATACCTTCTCAGCTTCGCATCGAAGCTAAAATTGAAGTATTAAAAAAAATTTTTTTTTTATTTACAAAAAACAATCTGTACATTAGAATAAGTACAATAAGTTTTTTTTATATCAAATGTGTTCTTGGTTTATTTAAAATTAGCATGCAAGGAAGTCACCCATTAGTAACACCTCTCTGTTAGTTAAATATAATTTTTGTTAGCGGTTTGAGTTATTAGGTCACGATTCCAGTTACATTTAAGTCTGCGTGTAGGATTGTTAGGGAAGTCGGTAGTGCACATACGTTTGATAAGGGAGTTTGTAATAAAGTTCAGTTTATAGTGGAATCATGTGTAGTGTAATTTAGAAAGTTCGTTAACTGTTTTAATTTTTAAGTCGTTATGTAGGTTGTTGTTCGTTATGTACCAAGGGGCATTGGTTAACATTCGCAGTGCTAAGTTCTGGAACGCCTGAATTGGACATATATTTGACGGCTTTGCAGGACCCCAGATTTGTATTCCATAAGACCAAATTGGTCTTATAATAGTTTTGTAAATCAACATTTTTGTGTTGAGATGGAGTATAGACTTAAGTAGAGGGCGGAAAATATGAAGTCTAGCATAAGCTTATTTTCGTTTGTCCTTGAAGTGGGGGCCCCATGTTAATCGCTTATCTAGAATGATACCTAGGTATTTTGATTCGTCCTGAGGAGAGATTATTTAAAAAATGAAAAAATAACATAGCAATACAAATTGCATAAACAATGATAAATAAAATTATATATTAAAAAATAACATTTTTTTCAGGCAATGATGCTAAAGAAGAAGGTGATATTAAAAGCATTTTTTATAATAGAACTTTATACATTTATGATAACAATTTTATTTCAAATAACACATTACAAAAAAATCTAATTATGCATAACTTATGTACATATATTAATTTATAAGTGTGTTAATAAAATATTATTTTGAAAAAAAAATAAAAGAAATGTTTAAACAATTTTGCAAAGACATATGATAGTTCAAAAATTCCTTAAAAATTAAAAAATGCAAATTTATGATTTGAATATGCTGTAGTACTATAGTACTATAAGTGATACTATAGACAATAATTTAATCATTAAATGTTATTATTTTGACTTATATATCTATTTAGGTACGTGTGGAATATGCTTGGAAGAAAAAGAATCAGTAACATTGATACCATGCGAACATAAGTTTTGCAATACTTGTATTAATATATCTCTTTATAAATATGAACTAAATAAATGTTCTGTATGCCGTCAGGAATTTACATCAACTGAAGGATTAAGTATGTATAGTTAGTTAATTTATGATACGGAAAAAAATCTAATTCTAAATGAGTAAGAAGATTCATATAAATATATTTAACATACAACTATCTAATTTTATACATTTATAATTTTAAAATAAGCGCAGATATGCTTGAAGTAGAGTAGTAAGGCACATTGTTATGAGTTTATTAATATATCAACTGACAATATAGAAAGCATATATGTTGATAGAGTCATAATTGACAATTAAAACTCAAATATTGTATTAAATTCAAAATATGTGTTCCCAATTTAAAAAACAAAATTGACATTCATTTAAATTTGAAATATACTTTTTTTTTTATAATCTTTAAAATAAAAATTTTGTGATCGATACATATAGAGTGTTCAGTAAGTAAGAAATCGGAAGAATTGTTATAAGCAATGAGAACATAAGAGACCCGTTTCCTTACTTACTGAAAATTTTCTATATATATTGAAATATTTTATATATGCAATCTTCAATGCTTTACTATTATTTTCTAAGGTCAAATAAAACAAAATTCCCAGCTTTTCTCTGCACTTAATTTTCCTTTTTTACTTCAAGTTTGCCATAAAAATTACAACTAGGATCACCTAATTAAAATAATGTAAAAATTAATAATATCTCTAAATTAGGAGTATAAGTAATTTTTTTTTTTAAATTGAGTGAATTAAAAAAAGTAATTGTCAATGAAAATTTACATTATATAAAATTATTAGTATTCTTTTATTAAAATTAAATTGATTTCTTGTAGTTGTATTCCCTTGTTTGTTATACCTGTAAAAAATACAAATGGTATTTACAATTAAAATAAAGAGGAAAAATTTTATATTTATTTCGCGATATATTTTTTTCCTTTTGAAAAGATAAAGTTGACACCTATACAAATATAAAAATATGAACTAAAATGGTATAACACAACTAATAATTCAAAAGTAATATGTAACTAAAGGCAATAAAAAATTTTTTTTCAATATTATTTTTAGTCTGTTAGTAATGCATTAGATTTTCATCAATAACATAATAAATACAAGTTTTTGTCTGAAGTATATTATTTATTAAAAATGTATAGATATTTAAAAATAAAAAATGTATAGCAGTTTTAATATGCAGAAATCATTTGTGATTTGGTCATTTTTGACACTTAGTGAATTTTCAAATATTCCTCTAAAATTTTATAATTAAGGGAGTTATACAATTTTTGAGTGTGATATCTATAATGAGATTAACTTCAGGCTCTTTTGATTTAATTATTATAGACAAATACAAAAAAATAACATTAACGTAAAACCAATACCTCCTCAACTTTGCATCAAAGCTAAAATGAATAATAGCCTTTTTAAATTTTGTTTTAATAAAAAAAAATTTCTCATTATGTGTATCAAGTATGTATGTAATATAAAATGCTCGTTATTTACATATGAAGGATTTTGTTTTTCATAATTTGACATATGCCACTCGATAATTTTTTCCTATGGAGCTAAAAATTATATTTACAAAATTTAAGGTTTTTATAATTCATTAATAGGGCTCTCTCTAGACTCAAAGAAATGTATAATCCTTGATAGTTTGAA